AAATTCTATACTGAAGATGCTTTTAAACCAGAAAGGTTGCTCTGTTCTGCACATAGGATATGGATGAAAAGAGGCRTAATTGAGAAGAGATGTAATAAAAAGGCTAAAGATCTTCCAGCAGCACACTTCTACACAAAAACACAACCACTGTCAACCACTGTCATTGTTAACTATATATAAAAAAAAAGAAATAGCATGTACTTGCTGTGTATTCTTCCAAGATTTCTACTGCCACAGAGTGATTTTAGAAACATGGGTAATCTTATTATTAAATTTATTATTTTAYTAATACTTTGCTCTACTAGAGAGAATTCTAGTTTCCAACTAAGCCTGGTAATTTTCTCAAATTGCTTGGATCAAGATGGGGCATAGCAGAATAAACATCTTTTTGCAAACTTCTAGTTAATTTCAAGACATGACTTCACAAAGCAAGATTTGCTTTTGCAGTCACGCTAACACAGCTCTATGAACCTGTGGTTTGCTACTGTCCTTACACGGACAGGAACCATGAACATCAGGCACACTTAGAAGCACCTCCTTCAACCTGGGCATGAACAGAACCAATACACTACAAACTGCTGTATGGTTTGCATTCCAAAGGCCAAAGGGGGTACAAGTATTTTCCCATATTMAAGCAACTATAGACCTACAGGAGAGACAAATAACCTTGTCACTGTTTRCACTTCCATTGATTTACCAGAACAGTCTAATTTTGAGACCTGTTCTTCTATGTTTAAAATGAGGGTAACACTCTGTTCTTGATGYTCTTAACAGGATCCATTGTGCTCACCTATGTTATATGAAAAAAGTATCCTTTTACCAACTGAGAGAATGCATAGATGAAATCACCATTTTCTCAGGAGACTGCAATTGGGAACAAGTTGCCAAGCATTTCAGCACATAGACTGCAAGGACTTGCCAATGATTACTGCCTATGCAGAGAATTCACCAGTACCTGCTTATCTAATTGCTAAAATTCCTTCTGCTCACTGGGAGATTGACTCTCATTAATTACCTTAAAAATGTCTTAATACAAAATACATGAAAATACTTTTTATCTTCCTAATATGATGCTATAAAAGATAAGATACATTGTTTAATGTACGGGATGATGCTTAAATAAGCTCTGAATTCTTCAAAGTTTCATGGAAATTATGGTGCCTTGCCCTTTAAATAAGCTCTCACTTGTATGGTCACTTGTTTCAATTTCAGAAAGAAAGTTAAGAAATCAGAACACTTCCTTGCATTTGATAACAGAATTTCCTGTGAGTCTAGTATGAAGCCTACTCTATTTTTTTTCAACCAGCTAGACTGTTACAAACACTAGGGAATTATTTTCAGAAACATTTGAAAGTCTTAACAAATTTTTGCAGCCTTCATTTCTATTGACAGGGCATTTCGTGTCAAAAACTGCTGAAAAGTACCAATGCCAAGATTACTCTCTTTTAGGATGTGCATTCCTAATGAGTAAAGACTACAGTAGATCACATAAACACAAAGAAAAAATAGATTCAGAATTGCTACTTCTACAGCAAACAACTCAGTTATTTACTTCCAACAAGTGAGGGGGAAGAAGTGTGAAGGCAGTGAGTATCTATGTCTGATTTTGGCACCAAATAAAGAGGGAGAGTTCCATTATTTATCTCTCATGTCACTTAAACCCACCTGTAGTTGTTTCTTTAATTCTATTTTACAGACACAAGCTAAAGATTGTCACTCTTCCACAGAAGCATTTTTCAGCTGAGTGAGGATACATATAGTGTTTGTTTAATACCTCAAAGGGCTTTTAGAAGGGGCTGTGTAATCAACTAACTTAACTTAGAGAAGCTCTTTAGGGCTCATCATGCTTCAAAACTGCTATGTTTTTATCTTAGCTCTTGAGACTTACAGATAAGAATAAGAGGAGAAAACTAAGTTTATTCTAGTGCTCAAACAGACCATTTATAAGGTAGAATTTTTTTTTTTAAGTAAACTCTTAGTTTAGGAAACAATGTACAGCTGTCTGGTTCTGATAACACAGGAAAATAAAACCTTCAAGTCAACAGGCTTGCAATTCTCTAAGCCTTCTACCCATTCTACCATAGGCTGGAGTCACGGGCTTGGCTTCTGTGGTGAGCACGTGTCCTGGTTTTGCTTGGTCCGGTTATTTGGTGGTGGGGGGATGGGACCAGGAAACCACAAAGATGGCTCCTGYGACAAAGTTCTTGAAGTTTTCTCCTTCTTCTCCAGCAAAAGGAGCCYTGMCCCCTGTGTTTCAGAACCAATCCATTGTGGCTCTGAGGTTGATGGACAGGCTGCTGGTCAGGCCTGGGCCAATTGCACAGGCAGTTGCACCTCTGTGATGAYGTWYGGTCTTGTACTTAAGAATTCAAAACAAGATAGAGAGCAGCTGCCATTTAGTTTTAGGTTGTTGGTATTTAGTTTTAGTATCATGCACTGGGGAAAAATAGAGCAGGAGAGTGAGGAGATRTAAGAAAAAAAATGGAGACCCAAGACCACAGTARGGAGAAGACAGGTGCTGTTGCCTTTTTTTGGCTGTGGTGCTCGACATGGAGAAAAAAATTGGTTCTCAAAAGGACAATTTCTTCAATGGGAGACCTGTATAGAAAAGAGAGGCCCTGCATACAAGATAAAAAAACGGCCTTTGAGGACTGGACTGATCATAAGGTAAAAAAAGGGGAAGCTTGGCACCCCCTCACATCTGAAGCGAGTTGATGCACAGAAGAAATTGTGTTCTGAGGGGGGAGGTGGTGGTCCTCCTCCCCCCTGCCTTCCCCCATCTGAAGCAAGCGGATGCTTAGAAGAAGTTGTGTTCTGCCAGGAGATTTGAGATAGTGGCCTTGGAGGACTGTTTTCCTTTTTCCCATGAGGTAAAGAAAAAGCATCCCATGCCATCAGCAGTTATACACTGACTGTTTCTTGGGAAAAGAACTTCCACAGCTCAGAGCTGTAAGGACTCTTCTCCTATGGTGCTGGACGATAACCATAACGAGTAGTTTGATCTATGTTAAACTTTCATCCCCTGCCTCTCTCGCACACAGGAAGGCATGGGGGGATGGGGGGGATGACCTGGGAGAAAGACAAGTTCCCTGAAAGAATAACATGTATCTTAAAATGTCCGTTTTTTTATTTCTTCTCCTTGTAAATTTTTCCCTATCTCTGTTCYGCCTCTCGGTGCRGTAGTATTCTTAGTAGTTTTTAGCAATAAATCTATTTCGCAACTTAAGTTATTCAGCCWGTCTGACCATTTTCTGGAGTATATACATATTTTTCTCTCAATTATGTTATCTTATCTAAAAGCCATAAATTGTAGTGTTAATTGGGCTTTTGCTCTCCCTTCTGCCTCTCCGGTGGGGGGAGGAAGGGAACRTAGTGGGTGCTTTGGCTTTCGGTCAAGTTCAAACCACGACAGCAAGTAACATGCATGACATTTTCACATTTTCTGTGAAATACACTGCACAAAGAGAAGAAAAGACAGCACCCACAGTAAGAAAACCAGTCCATCTTGGAGCATAGTGATTACCACCAGGAGTATCTTTGCACACAGAATACAGCAGGTGGGGGAAAAGGTACTATTGAAAAAGTTGTGCTTATTGAAATACACCATCAGTTATGTATATTCCTGCTCACTCTGTGAAGGCAAGAAACAAAGGCTGCTCAAGCTGTGTTGGTTTAGTACCACATTAATATGTAAGCAGTCAGATTCTGAACCTAAAATTCACACCTCATCACCACAAATAATTGCATATTATCTTGCAGAGGATCACATTCAAAAGAATGACTATGACAATATCAAGGYTATTAGTATAAATATTTCTTTTCAAGACTAGAATAAAATACAACAAAATCAAGAAAGATGTCTAAATAATTAATCCAAAACTACTCTTCTGCTCTGAAAGATCCAGAAAAAAAAAAGTATTATTCTGCAGAAGAACATATTAAATAGTTTAAGGGTTTTTTTTTTTTTTAAATCACACTATTTCTGCCACATGCTCAGAATAACCCAAAATGTTTTATCCAATATTTCTGTTCTGGTTTCTAACAAGCACATTTGAAGTTGAAAACTCTCTGGTCCGTTAAAAGAGCTGAAGAGACATAATTGAAACCAATAACGCATCAAATTAAATGGAGCAAATCTTCACCAATAACACAGAGTCTGCTACCAGTGCCCTCAAAAATGTCTAATTCTTCATAAATGTCAAGCACCATTTCACTGCTTATGAGAAAAACTTTCATGAAGCAGTATTATCCTAATGCGTGCATGTGTGCACTATACCCACACACAGATGCAGCCACTCATGATCAGCACTAAATGAGACCACCTGAGTCACAGTATCAACTGCTTTTTTTGGTTTTTAAAATTTGTGCTAGCAGGRCACGATGGCAAGTGAAGATGGATATTACAAGGGAATCAGAACCCCGGGCTGCGTTTACAACAAACAAGCTTTTCCCTCAGAGCAGCAGCCTCGCCTGGGGCTCGCCTCAGCCTCTCAGGGCAGGACTCGCGGGTGCCCCAAAGCCACGGCCTTTCCATCCTTCCCGCTCTCCTGGGCAGAACTCTTCCATGCCGTGTGTTTACCTTCAATCCCACTCCTGCCGTGCTCGTCTCGTTTGGTCACCTCCAGCACCGCGCGGCTCAATGTGCAACCGCGCCAGACCCCAAGCGGCGGCCGCAGCTCAAGGTGAGCCCAACTCAGCGCCGATGGAACGGGCACCAGTGGCTGAGGCAACGCCAGAGACTCGTTTGTCATCCCAACTTTCACCCGACTGCTGATAAAATACAATCCACCGTGGCCAGCCGTTCCAGAGGGGAGGTGGATGTGCCACCGCGCTGCTGCCGGGCTGGGGGACCGGCCGGGGCGGGGAAAGCGCCGGAGCCGCACCGAACGCAGCGCAGCCGATGAGGCGCTCACCTGCCCGCCTCACGCCGAGGCCCGGAATCGCCGCCCGCGTCCCACCTGCCGGCGTCCCGCCCGCCCCCTCCCGCGCCCCCGACTCACCGAGAAGCCGGCCCAGAAGGGGCAGGAGTGGCGGACGCGGGCCGAGGTGGTGAGCGCCAGGGCGGCGAAGCTGACAGCCACGATGAGGCAGCCGAGCACCATCTGCGTGACCCCCAGGACCAGCATGGCCCGCGAGCGGGCGCGCTGTTCGCGCAGGCGGGACAGGCTGCGGGACAGCGCGGTGGGGCTGAGGGAGCGCGCCCCGCCCGGGGCCCCGCC